GAAGGGGTGAGGGGTTGCGTACATTTTCAAATCCATAGAACCTGTCACTACCGTCCTCGCGCAGAGGGCCCGCGTTCCGTAGCATTTTCTCCAATGGAGTCATCTCCAGGATAATCTGCTCATCCCTCTTCTTTGCTGCTGCATTGTCTTTGGCAGTTTGGTTTCCCGAGGCCTGCGTAGATCGTTATTCTCGTCAGTTATCGGAGTTGTCTTGGCGAGGGTGGGTGGCGGACGGTGGAGAGGAGGAAGAGGAGGAGTAGAGGAGACAAAAGCGGATTGGAACGAGGGATGCCTCCCGGAGGAAAGGATTCTCTGAGCATACCGTGCTGCCACCCTTTATTTTGTTGAAGAAAGCCGCCATCGTGGCGTTGGGTCTTTAGGAATCCCGAGGTCGGGGTGAGAGAAGCTGGTTGCTGGCGAAGGTCCGCAGCGACCGCTGCGCAACGCTTGCTTGGACAACAATTTAGAGCGACAAGTAGAGTAGACCATGCGCATCCAATTCCCGTGAAGATGACTTGATATCAATGTCGGTAGAATTGCTTGGTCGTGAAGGCACCGAGGGCGTGATGTCGCGGACCCCGAAACGGATCAGGTGCTCGGTATTTCGATTCGGGTGACGGTGCGATTGCGCCCGGCGTGGCGGGAGGACAGCGAGGCGCGAGAGTAGCTGGGAACAGAGTTTGTTCTCTAGACGATGTGAATCATTGGACGACGCGAGGATGGCGAAGAGGAGTTTGTATCAGAGGAAGGGAAGGAAGGGGGGCGTCACAGCTGGAAGGAGTGCGAGAGCAGGCATATGGCCGTTGACACGGCAGATGGGTAGGTTACCTACCAGCTACGTGCTACACTGGCTACTGCAAGGTTGGTTGGAAGAAGGTAGGGGGATTGGTTACTAATTGCATGGGATGATACCTGGGACGGGGGGTGGGGGTTGCGCTCACGCAGGCTGGAGAAAGGCTGGAAAGCCTGGGCCGCCCCCCGTCAGCGGAGTTAAGTTAGCGATTAGAACGCCTGGAGGCACGGTAGCCTGAAGTGGACGCAGGAGCGAGTCAAAGTCGCGGAGTTATCCTTCGCACCACTCGCCAGCGGAGCCACTGCAGACACCAGCGACCGACCTCCGGCCACGGCTCGGGCGCGGGCTCTGAGCCCTCCCTCCCTGAGACGAGGGCAGGCACCGCAGGCACAGGCAGCACCGCAGGGCAGGGCAGGGCCGGGCAGGGAAGAATCGGGGCGAAAAAGGTACTTGACCTTCCTTCACGCCAAGACCCCCCCAGAGTCCAGGCATGTGGATAGTGGAGTCTGATGAGCCCCAAAAAGCCAAAGCCGCCCCAGATGTGAGGTGAGGTGACGGTGCATGCCATGCCACCTGAGTGGTGGGGAAACCGAAGCGTGGTACTGTTCGATTCTTCCTTCCTTGGCCACTCAAGTCGCCCTGCACCTCACCCAACCAAAGCGTCCCTGCCTGCCACTCCTGGCAACAAGGTACGTCGCTACCCTATCTACATGCCTAGGGCCCTAGGTACCTTGCCGATGCACCACCAATCCGTCCAGTCTCACCTGCTGCCCCGGCCGCTGCATCTGGCTGGCTGGCATCGAGCATCTGGCCTCTGTATAGCCATAGCTGCAAGATCGGCGCCAGCTCTTGTCCTACAATGTCCATGACGGCCTCTCGCGGAGCAGCATCTCCCCCAACGGCCTCCCCGCCTGCCATATCTCCCGTCGGGGCGGTGACGCTCCTCATCGCTTCTTCCACCAACCGACGGGTTGTGTGCCAAGAGCGCCTCCATTGTGCGAGGGGTGTGCTTGATCCCTGGGCATACGTCCTAGGCGTTGGAGCACACCTCAAATACCTCGCATGCCCCTGGTACCTGTATGGGAGAACCACTTTAACAGCCAGCTGGGGTTGGCCAGCATGAACTCGTAGGAGCAGAAGGGCGACGACGACGACGAGACGGCCTTTTTCTGCCATTGGCGATATCCAAGCTGGCACCGCCCACTTCTAGGCTATCTCGATGGGAAACCGGCAACGCTCGCAGCTCACACGCTTTTACCGCCCCCAACCAAGGGAAACACCCCCGGCGACGCATCCTCACACACTTTCAGAAGGGTTCGAGGTGTCAATTTGCCTCTCACTGCGTCATTAATACCAGTGGAGCTCGTTGGCGGGACTTGCCCGACTCTGTGCCTGCAACTAGCAGCGGAAAAGAGCAGCGAGGCTTGGGAGCTCTTCGCATGGCCGCCGCGGCACTCTAACCCAGTGCCATCAACGGCGCTGCCCGGGCTGCGCAAATGCCTTAGACACGCGACTTGGACTCGAACCATTGGACAACTCTCCAGCAGCCCATCCCGCCTGTCGGCCAACAGAAATGGAGGCCATGATAGCGATATATGGATGGCCCACCATCGTTAGCAGGTCGACTAGCACGTTCAGCGGAGTTGGGGAGGGCGCTAGGACGGATGTACGCTAGGTGAGGCATAGCGCGCTACACTAGTTGGTGGCCCAGATTGCGGAGAAGCGCAGTACCCGTACCACTAACGGACTAACACCACCCAGCTAGAACGTAGCGCTCGCTAACTAACAACTGTAGGCGACCCCCCGGCAGCCCCTGCACCAACCGCTCTCCAGCGAACTCGCTCTGGGTCTTTGGCCGATAGGCTATTGGTGCTGCACATGCAGCTTCCAGAATATGCAATCTGCAGATTACGCACATTAGAGCCTTTGGTCCCACTCCCAACGCTCCCCTCGCGCCCAAACAAGAACCTGAGCGGTGGTAACCGCCTGTTTGCTTGGGATCCGGATTGGTATCGTCCATCTTTGCCACGTTGCGAGCTGTCCCGTCCCAGACTCGACTCCTGCATTCACGAGGACAGTCCGATTCTCAGCCCCTCGTGCCGCGATTCGTCACGCCACATACCCAACCCAGCCTAGATTCGCCCTCAAATAGTAGCTGTTGGTTCCTACGGGTTTGAGTTTCGGCACTGTTCCGTCTTGGTACTGACCTGGAGGGCACCCTCCATTATCGTCATCGAGTGTGGGGTTGCCTTTCTATGCGCCAATCATCCACATGCATCCGCATCTTGGGTATCGTATCCTGCGTCTAGTCGGTCCGTTCTTTATTGACCCTACAACCGTTGGCCATCAATATCGTGGAGTTCAGCGACACCCTGGAGATCTTGGGGCCTGGGTCGGTGTCGCCCACTCTTTGCTCACCCTCACACCACACGTGCTCATTGATGCTTACCGGGGGCTTTATTCACTTGACTCCTACATCATGTCCCCTCAAAGCAGGTGTTCGCTAAACCTCCCCTGATGCTGCTTCATTACAACTCTTGCCACGCAAAAGGATTTGGCCACTGCTGTCAGGGCTAAGTGGGTGGGACAAGTGCACATTGGGGTGTGAGCCGACTTACACCGCAATCCACCACTATGATGGCCGGAAGCGCCCCCAGAGGATATATCGCGCATTGCACTGGTGCTTCTAATGTCTCCATCTGAGGCCTGTGCGCCTTCCTAGCTCTTCATGTACGGAGAGCAACAATGGCTATTGTGATTCATGTCCTTTGACTGAATGTTGGCTTGTAGCACAAGCCTCAAGGAAGAACAACACGACGCACTGAATTAGGTTGCGAGTCTTAATCTCTTAGCTTCGCCATTGGTCGATCGTTGCGTAATTGTGGCGAGCGTCACTTTGATATCAGGCTGATTGTTACACAGTTCGTAGGGAGAAACTCGGTGATACGGATGATCTGGATACCAGACGGGTGGTAGAATCGTGCGCGATGATACCCAGGTCCGCTGATCAGTACTGTTACTATGAGTTGCAGGGACCACTGAGGTCAGTACTCGCACTGTCGTCAGACCATTCAATTGAGTTCAATAATCTGTGTCGCGAGACACATTGAGCAAAGTCTCTCTCTATCTGCACTTCAGCGTCTAGATGGGCATGGCTTGAAATCTAGCACATCCTGAACATATGCACAGAGCACCTGGATCCTTGGATTATGCAGTGTCCAAAACTCGGAGAATGGATATAGGCCAGCTCTGAGCTGAAGACACATTCAACCAACCCATCAACAACGACCCTACCAGGTGTCATCCTGAATGCGGCTAGGATCAGGTTGCCCCAGGTTTTGCAATGGGTGGCCTGGGGTTCCATTCAAGCCGGCATGCACCAACGCCAACCACGGGATGTAAGTAATTTCTGGACACAGAGGGATATATTTGTACATGTACCCGGCACAGTATGTGCAAGTGTATTCATGTCCAAGTACTCCAATGTACGTGTCCAAGCAGTGTGGGTTGCATCCTCGCTTGCCTTGTTGGTACCCACCCAATAGGAATATCTCTCACGTCTCCATCTTCTCATCGACGGTCTACTCTAGCCGCCCAAATCTCAGGGATTTTGGCGTTGGAGGAACTCAAAGGTTTTCCCAACATCTTTCCCAAGGTTCCTGAACGTTGAAACACCAAAAGGGCCAACTAATCAGCTTACGCACCTAGGCCGGGGCACATGACCTTCAGAACACAGCAGTTGTGTCCGATCACTCTCTTTCAGCTCGAGGATACCGGGGTACCCCGAGTTATACCGATGGTGCGTGACGTAGCGGACGGCAATAGTGCGTCAGATGCTCTCCAGGCTAAATATCAAGTGGGAATCTAGAGCAGAGAAGCTCGAGGAAACGGGACCGTTGACCGCGCCTTGGCCTGGTCATAGAAAACCATCAGGCCAAGCCGGATAGCTTAGCGCGCAGGCCCCAGCCTGCTTTACAAATCAGCCGTTCGGCGACTTTTCTCGCTTGCCTGCGGACTTGATAGTGACAAAGAGCAGAGTCTCCAGTTATTTCTGTTGAACCTATCTTCCCGATTCTTACGCCAAGGATCTTGCATGTGGGCCAGCTCGATGGTTGAACAAGTGATACACCCGAGCTTTCCGCATCGCTGGACTAATGGCACTACTTCTACTATACACGGCATGCCTGTGCTGATCACGCAACCGGTCTCACTTGGACTCCTTGGCTGGGGCGGGGCCGCCTGTGGTTGGAAAGCCCATGAAAATCTTGAAGTAATCCTAGAGAAAACCAATGAGTCTCGCCAGGTTATCGTACGAAAAGGTGGGTTGAGAGACTTACATAGATCATCCACTGCAAACCAGTCAAGGTACCGATCATGACAATTCGAACCGGAAGGCCATTCCAGAGACCTGAAAAGCCAATGTCTTTGTAGATCCGGCTCATCGCCTTCCCGAAAGCCTCTCCAGGCTCACGGTTCGCGTTCAGTTTACTCACCATGACATCGGCGGGGTGGGACACAATGGCGCAGAGAATACCAGCAAGATACCCTCCCGTGAAGGAGACGCCCGTCTGCGCGGCCTTGCTGTAGTCGCTCTTCTGGCCGGGGAGGCGGTCATAGATCATCTCGACGATAGTCTCAAAGGACGCAAACTTCATCATGGTGTACGGGATCTGGCGGCCCCAGAGCGGGTAGATGCCCTTGTACAGGCCGGCCGCGCCCTCTTTGGCGACGACGGAGCTGATGCCGTGGAACGTGCCCCTGAACGGGCTCTGCAGGCTGCCCTGCATGCGGACCTTGACGGCCTCGAAGGGGCACAGGGCGATGTCGGCGAGGAACTCGGCCGACGCGGACGCGGCGAGGTAGAGGCCCGTCCTGTACTTTACGGCGGCCTCGGGGCCGACCGCGTCGGAGTAGGTCTTCTTGAAGTACTCGTACCAGCCGTACTTGAAGGCGCCCTGGGCCGAGTACCCGAACAGCGTCGGGCTCCAGCCCGTGAAGATGCCGCGGAGGCCCTCGCCGCGGTATATCTTGCCCCAGGCCTGGAAGTTGCTCGTGTACAGCTTGGAGTCGACCTGGCGGCGGGTCTTGACGAGGTCGAGCGGGGTGACGCCCGCGTGCGTGAGTCCCTGGTTGCATCAGAAAAACGTCAGTTTGAGGCCAAAGAGCCCAGCCATGATGTGTGTGCGTACGCAGGCTAGCATCCCGCCAAACGTGCAAGCAGCATAGTACTTTGGGGAGTACAGCTCGATCTTCCCCTGCTGCGGCTTGGGTGCTGCTTTGAGCGCCTTGTCTTTGGCATCCTCGACGATGGAGAATGCGCTATAGAGCTCCGGACGGGCTTGGAGGGGCGTTGGGCCGTGGAATTGCGAGGTCTTGCTCTGGGCAGAGTCGCGTCCGGGGAAAAAGAGAGACATGATTGCGGGTGAGAGGACCGGCGGGGAACTTTGCCTCAGCTTTGCGCACTCAGTATATGTCTTGGTTCTATGATCACATGCGACGACGCATGAATGGGCAATGCGGTCAGTGAGGTCCTCGCTCTCGAAGTGTTGATTTCGCCTCTCTCAATGGAACGGAGCGGATGAGCTTCGAGATGATCCCTGTACAAGAGGATGATTTCACTATCGCATGAAGGAACAAGGGATGGTGATGGATCGTAGTATCAGAGCTGGCCCGGCTACGTCTCCTCGTGTACAATCATACAGGATGACATCACCGTCGCAGAAGCTCGAGCCGCACCACCCGGAGTTTGTGAGGGTTGCATGTAACCTGCCGGAGATAAGGATGCCGGTTGCAGTTACAAGGAAAGCTGATGCAGATAGTAGGTAGATGGATGGATGCGAATGCAATGCGGTTGTAGCAGGCACGGTTTTACCCGTTCAGCTCGGTTTTGGAGTATAGCTGTGAGCATATATGCTGGGGCTGTCTGGGTCCACGTAGATAGATATCGCGATCTTCTATGTATCTGATACTAACATGCAAGGTTTGTGGTATGTACATATTAATATAATACATATACATGTCATGTATATTGTTCTGTAAGTCAACGCATAACTAACGTCGTTTCATTTCACCGAGCTTTTTTCAACGCATCTCATGATGATATTGGCGCTGATATTCCCAATGATATCATTGCATCTACCTCTGTTATACAGAACATACCACCTCAGCACTACAAGCTTCCCAGTACAGTAGAGCCATGCAGGAAACGATGGGGGTTCACGCACGTAATCGTCCCGTTCAAGAACCACAGCCAAAGCCCCCACTTGGCCCCCGCGAGACATCAATCGCAGCAAAAGCACATGATTAGTCTCCAACTTAAAACATACACATCTCAAATCGACCTTTCCGAAACCGTTGATCGACAGGTCACCGCGAAAAAAAAAAAAGTTGCCAATTCCGATAGATACCTCAACACTCGACGACAGCAGCGAAAATGGTGGTAGTGGCAGTGAATGCGGGGTCGAGCAAACCTTTCGAGTCGAAATGGTCGTCCAAGTACCGCGGGGTATGAAAGCATCCCCTCCAAGAAGCTGGAAACCAGGTTGGCGATGCCTTCAAGGCCAGAGAGCTCGCGCCATATGCGGGCACTCCATCTCCTTCCAATGGTTTCCAGTAAAACAAGCAAAATGAGTTTCTAGCTGACAACTCTCCCCAGGCCACAGTCGAAGACCTCGACCCTCCCGCCGCCCTGTCCCTCAACCCCTCTGATGCCATCTCGCTCGCCCTCCTCTCCGCCTTCGAGCGGGACTACACGCACCTCACAATCGTCGACGCCCAGACCCGCGCGCTGCTGGGGTACATCTCCATCCCCAACCTGCAGTCCCTCCTCGACTCGGGCAAGGTGCAGCCCGACGACCCCCTCTCGGCGGCCATGACGCGCTTCCAGCGCCGGGGCCGCACGTACCAGGTCATCACGATGGAGACGCCGCTCGAGGAGCTCGAGGCCTTCTTCCGGGGCGGGGTGTCGGGGGGGGAGTGGGCGCAGGACTTTGCCGTTATTACGGACGATAATCGGAGGTTCGTCATGGGGGTGGCGACGGTGCAGGATTTGGAGGAGTTTGTGAAGAGGAGGCCGGAGTAGGGATTTTCACCAAGAAGGATATTTATGATACGAAAAATATTTGGGATGGGGCACGATGGAGAAGTTCCCAAGGGCCACCACCGTGGAGCTCCCATTGTGAGATGGGGTAATGGCTATCAAATGATGAATGTAATCTCGAGTAAGAATGGGATCAACGGGGTTTGAGACATGGAGAAGAGGATGAGACCGGATTGGAGAAAACCACCAGATCCGAATTTTAGAAATGGGCCAATAACACACCACACAGATCGAATCAATTCTCCTCAACGAGACTTACACGTTTACGGGCAAAGAGACCGTTGTTCATGCCTTGACATCGACGTATATTAGATGCTTGTACTTTCACTATCAATAACCCTCGGATTTCTGAACTCTCTCGCCGCATACTCATCTACAAACACCGCGACACCCGCATACATCTACTGGCCAGTGTAGTCGTAAACCAGCTTGACAACCTCCGTCTTGTCCTCCTTCTTCACGACAACATGCCGGACGTAGCGCCGCTCGCCGTCGATCTTCTGGAACCCCCAGATCTGGGTGGCCGTCCACCCGTTGCCGACGCTCTCCACCTCGCTGAGGATGAGGTTCTTGCCGTCCTCGCCGACCTTCTCCTCCTCCCACCCCGTCTTGAGGAACTCGTCGTCCACCTCGGCTAGCGCCACCCACCTCGTGCGGCCCTTGACCTTGCCGAAGAGCCAGTCCTCGTGCTCGCGCCAGGTGTCGTCGACGCAGCGGCGCTCGTGGGTCGAGCTGAGCCCCGCGGCCGTCTGCTCGATGTCGATGTGCGTGAAGATCTCGGTGGCCGCGTTGGGCGGCTTGGGCGCCGCCTCGTACTCGTTGACGTCGAGGGTGACGCTGGCCAGGCCGATGCCCTTGCGGGTGAGGTAGCCGATGCCCTGGAGGGCCAGGAGGGCGTCCGTGCTGCCGGAGAGGGTCTTGTTCTGTGTTACCGCTGTTAGCTTTTGCGAATAGGGCGCGGGGGAGGGGCATTCCATGGAGGTTTTTTTTGGCTTGCTTGGTTGGCGGGGTTGTGATGCAGACTACATGTATAATAGGCCATAGAGGGGTTCACTTTCTCGTGGTGGGGGGGTTGCCTTACCAAAGACCATTTACCGGTCAGGTTCTTGAGTGTCTTCTCTGCAGGCGCGGCCATGTTGACGATGATACTCAGATTTCAGGCACGAGATCAGATCTGGCAGTAGTGGTGGTGGTGTTGGTGGTGGTGTTGATGACGATATCTTGGAGGGGCTCACAAGTCGTCCGGTCTAGCTTAAGGTACCCGCTAACAAGCTGGAAGCTCCGATTTTATTTCTGGAGAAAGATGGGATGTTCTGCGTGAGGGGTGCAACTGGGGAAATCTGGGCGACGAAAGCCAGCTTCTTTATGGCTTTTTCCCTTCCGTCTGGGGGAGCACGAGGGAGGACCCCTTCCCGGATCATATGCAAGGGCAGCCACGCATTGGAAATCCCAATGGGGGCACTCACAGCCACCCGATCCAGAGCTTCCAGAGCTGCCCGTACAGGCCATGGTGTCAATCCCAACCCATCACTTTACTTCGCTCGACCGAGGCTCGTCGTGACCCTCCACCCCCTCTTGCAACCGCGTTAAATCGCTAGCCTCTGGCGATGGTTTACTGTTTCTGGGAGGTGGCTCCGCCGTGGTCCTCCCCCAGAGCTGCAGCCAAGCCCGCGCGACGGTCCATCGCCTGACTCCCGCACCACCATCACGACGCTCCTCCGAGGCTGGTGACCAGGCGGCGGTTTGGCTGGAAGAAGGCAAGGCTGAGAGTGTGCTGGGGAACGACTCCCCGTGTTTTTTTCCCATGTGAGATTGCGGGGTTATCCCAAGCGAGGAGGCAACATCGGGTGCTCCAGATTCATTTTCAGGAAGCAAGGAGGTGGTTCCATGTTGTGAGACACCAGGCCATCTGAGGCTAATCCTGTTCCTGGCTTGGGTTGCTACTGTGCCTCTCCCCGCCGCAGCCACACATACGTCCAGCCTGACAATGTCCATGTCCAGTGTAGCCTTATTTCCTCAGTGTGCATTATCATATGGCAAGATTTGGCGAGTGAGCTATTGCTGGATTTAGCATGCTACCCATAGGCCAAGACTACTTCCCGTGGAACTGAAGAGGAACCCCGAGGCCACAGCACGTGTAAAATACATCTGCAACGGTCGCGATATCATAGGATCAGCCTCGGTCCCGAGCACACGGCCTAGCCAGCATCAGAGGCCTGTGATTCGGGTGGGCCTTTCTCAGGATAAGAATAGATTAATGCCCCAACTGGCTGGGATAGATTGCGAATGATTCCGTGCCGCATCCCCACGATCACATCACAATTTCAGAGTGGCCGCTGGACCTAATCGGGAGCATCGCCGCCGCCATCAGGAGCTGGGATCGTTTATCTCGGCAACAAACTCCCCAGGTTTATGTTCCGCTCGGCTAGACAGCGCTCTCCGGGGCTAGGACTGGCTGATTTATGGTCATAAAATGCGTCCTTGATCCACGATTATGCGAGAAGAGACGATATTCTCGTTCTAAACCCAGAACTAGCATACGATGTCCTGTCTATACAGACCCAGCTGGAGGGTCCAAGTCAACTTGAAGTCAGGAAATGGAGCACCGGAGAAAGCTTGGCCACCACCCTTCATAAGAATAGACTTTCATTATGCACAAGATGTGGTATATTGCTCTTGATATATTACAGTCTGCCCCCTCCGGACTGAACATGGCCGGTACACCTCGGAGTCGCCTTGATGTCCTAAGGGCACCTCTATCAGGTCCCATCTACAGGATTGGTCAGAGTTTAGATTCGTGAATCACAGAATCGACATGTCCTCCTTTTCTTTGTCCCTGGGCTCCGCAAGTGACTCGACGACCCGGCAAACCGTCCAAGAGGGCGGGTATAAACCTCCCTCCTTCCGACCCCTTGAACGCCCAACGCGGCAGGTCGGCTGAGACATATATGCTACGGTCCGGTTGGGCCTATGGAATGGTCTCTCCTTCTTTTGCGTGAATATAAAAAAAGGTCGTCAATCATCATGTTGTCCTCCTCCTTCGAAAAAAGAAAATAGTCTGAGAATGCAAATCACGGCCACCAGTTCATCTTCTTGTAGCTTTCAATGACCTCCTCGATGAGCTCTCTCGTCATGGTTGGGTGCTCGTATTTGAAGCCCAACAGGTTGTCCAGTCGGTCGGCGTTCATACTGAGATCGGTATCCTTGAGCAGCTCCTTCTCCATGAATGGTGAGAGAGGCCCGGGGCGTGTAATCTCCGCGGCCTGGAGCAGGTCCGCCCAGGGGCCGAGGACCTCGTCGTTGACATCGTCGACA